TGACCCAGGACTTAGAGACCAGGCTATCTTCTAGAAGGACAAGGCCCCCAGGGCACTTCCACATGTAATAAATGTCTCATTTTGGCTCAGATAAGGGAGATAGATGTCTGGGTTCAGACAGCTGTCCAGGCTGGAGAACCGGAAGGCAGGCTTCCGCATAGCTTTTTACAGTCCCTCTAAATCCACCATGGCCCCATCCCGGCTACTGTTTCATACCAGCAACTCAGGTCACCCCTTTTTCAAAGTGATTTATGAAGTCCACAGAAATAGAAAGTGGATTTGAACCTAGGGCCTTTCTGTCTATAATCTCATGGAATTAACACTTTACCATTTACACTTTACTACAGTGTTGGTTATGTTAGATGATATGAAGCTGGAAGGATGAATTCAGTGTGAGTGGGAGTAAGGGAAGACAAAGACACTGAAGCCTTACCAGGGTCCTGGGCAGAGGACCAGTGTCATTACCCAGAGAAGGAACTCATTCTAGGGTCCTGTGTAGACCTGAATCTTCAAATTCATGTGTTCAAGTCTTAAATTCCAGTGTGATGATATAATATCGAGAGGTATAACCTCGGGATTGAGTTTCAGGACAGCCAGAGCTAAACAGTGAAAACCTGTCTTGAAACCCCCCCCCAAAAAAAAACAACAAAAAAACCGGGAGGGAGGTAAGAGGGGAGGGAGAGAGAGAGAGAGAGAGAGAGAGAGAGAGAGAGAGAGAGATTGTGGCCCAGGTATGGAGGTACACATTTTTAATCCCAGCACTCCAAGGGCAGAAGCAGGTAATCTCCATGTGTTCAACAACAACAACAACAACAACAACAACAACAACAACAACAAAAAGATTACACAGACAGACAGAAAGACAGAAGATAGAGATTGCAGAGTGGTTTCCCCTAAGACTCAGGGATCATCATGGCTTAGGGTGGAAAGACTGAAAGAGCCAGAGGTAGGGGACAACTGCTGTGAAAGAGCATTTTCTGGACATGACAGACCTATGCACATACTGGTAGTACTCTGTGAGTTTAAAAAGGAATTCAGAAATTTGGGAGGGAAAGTAGTGGTGGGGACATGGGAGAATTTAGGGGAGAGGCTAGTGTTGGGTTTGATAAAAAACATATTATATGCATATATAAAAATTTAAAAAACCACTACTAGCTCAGTCAGGGGATACCCCTAGATAGCTTTTAGGATGGGGTCACTCTAAAGACTCAGATATGATCAGAAGGCTGAGACTTCCAGCTCCATTTTCAACTTGCCAGAAAGGGACAATGGCCAGAGATTTATTTGATTATCAGTGGCCTACACTGTAACCAATGATGCCAGTGTAATGAAGCTTCCACAAAGTCCCAAAGGGACAGAGGGAGGGGAAGGAGAATCGTGGTAGCTGAACATGTCAGTGTGCCTGGAAGGTGGCATGCCCAGATGCTATGGGACTTCCTGGGGAGATGTGAAAATCTACAAATGGCTGGTCAAAGAAAAGATTCCACCTACATGTAGCATGGCAGAGCAATGGGCTTCTTAAGGTCGCATACAGGGGCAAGGAGGAACCAAAGGCAATTGTATCACCAAAAAGTCCATCCCAGCATGATGACTCCCTGAATAACTTGCAGGCTGCTCTACCAGAGACTTCCCTCTCCCAAGCAACTGCTTACTGCTTAGGTAACCTTGAGGGAGGGGCTGCCTTTGTCTTGTGACTTTCTTAACTTTGCTTAGTCTTTTGAGACTTCCTGAGTCCAGTAAGTTTAATTTATTTCCTGAGTTATATGTGCCTCCCTTCTCCCTCCAACATCGACTGTTTCAACTGGAGGCAAAGTGTTACACAACACCAGAAAGGTGGGAAGATTTCTCCCATGCCTGGCTCTGTGCATCTTCCAGTTCAGCTGTTCACCACAGACTTGTAATGCTCTTTATAATAAACCAGGGAGTGTACCTGAGGCTCTTCTCAGAGTTCTAGGAACTGCTATGGTGAATTATTCAAGACGGAGGAGCACAGTTGTGGGAAATTCAACCAATAATCAGCACTTCAGAACACACAGGACAGTCTCCTTTTGTGACTGGAATCTGAAAACTGTGACTGCAACTCCAAGTTGGTGGGTCTGACACTGTCTCTAGGGAGGCAGTGTCAGAATAGATCTTGGAGAGTCTGTGCAGTAGGATTGCTTGGCTTTTATGAGAAATCCCCACTTCCACATCTGATGTGAGAAGTGATGGCTTGACCATGTCTGTGAGGGGGTCTTTCTCCCCCAACTCCCCTTCTAGACAGGGTCATATGGCCCAGGCTGCACATGAACTGGGTTATGTAGTCCAGGATGACCTTAAACTCCTGATCTTCCTGCTTCTACCTCCCGAGTACTGGGAGTACTTTGTAGACCAGGCTGGTCTTGAACTCACAGAAATCCACTTGCCTCTGTCCCCAGAATGCTGGGACTAAAGGTGTGAGCTATCACCATCTGGCTAAAAATTTTAAAAATTTATTTGTGTATGTACATATGGGAGCATGTAAACACACGTTATAGGGCTCATATAGGGGGAAGAGGACATTTTGTGGGAATTTGTTCTCTCCTTCCACTATGTGGGTTCTAGGGATGAAATTTAGGTTGTTAGATTTGGCAATAAGTACCTTTATCTACTAGGTCATCTCAACGCTTATATCCTTTTATAGTCAGTTAAAAGATATGATATGAATGAGTTCCTGCTCTGAAAGAGGCAGAAACCACCATAGGCAAATGGGGCTACAAGAAACAGAATTCAGCAGGGAACTTATAACAGACTATAAAATGGCCATGCTCAGTGTCCTTGGAGGTCACGAGGCCCAGTGGGGGAAGCTTGCTGAAGACTGGAGAGCTACTTAATGGAACTACCAAGGCTGGGATATAGCCCTTACCTCAGGCCCAGGGCCCTCTTAGCTGTGGTTGTAGGCTTGTTGGCAATCATCTTTAACTCCTGAACCTACCCAGCTGCCTTATCCTTAGGGGTGACTATCTCAGCCAGTGTTCTATTGCAGTGAAGAGACATCATGACTATGGCAACTCTTATAAAAGAAAGCATTTCATTGAGGCTCACTTACTGTTGTAGAGGTTTAGTTCATTATTATTGTGGCAGGAAGCATGGCAGCAGGCAGACAGACATCGTGCTGGAGAAGTACCTGAGAGTTCTATATCCGGATCCACAGACAGCAGGAAAAGAGAGGGAGAAAGGGACACTGGGCCTGACTTGGGCTTCTAAAACTTCAAGTCCACCCCCAGTGACATACTTCCTCCAACAAGGTTACACCTTTTAATCCTTCTCAAGAATTCCTTTTCCCTGTTGACTAATCTTTAAATATATGAGCCTATGGGGCCATTCTTATTCAAACCACCACAGTAGCTATCTTTGTGCAAGGAACTATGGGGGCTTCTGATGAGGATCCAAGAGATCCTAAGCTTAGATATGTCTAGTCTTTTAGTTCCTTTATAGCTATTAGACTTCCTTCCTCCCTATTCCTTTTTAAAATTGAGACCAGGTCTTATCTAGAGATCCATAGCTGAGGACGGCCTTGAATGTCTGATCCTCCTAGCTCCAATTCCTGAATACTGGGATTACAAGCTTACAGAGTCCCATCACATCCAGGTTTTATGTGATGCTTGTGATTTAACCCAGAACTTAGTACATATTAGGTAAGTTGTCTACCAACTGGGCTGCATTCCAAGTCCCCCCTTTCTTTCTCTCACTTTTTGAGATAAGGTCTCACATTGTCTGGCCCAGGCTGTACCTCAAACTCACTGTAACCATGCCTGGCCTCAACTTTGTGGTATTTATCTTGTCTCAGATTCTTCAGTATTAGAACTATGTGAGCTACAGCCCAGTTCTAGCTTTCTTGTTTTGTTTGAAACAGGGTCTTGTTGTGTATCATAGGCTAGAAGCCTTGATCCTCTTGCCTCAGCCTCCCAAGTGCTGGGACAAGTGTGTGGCACCATACCTAGCTTGAGTGTTGAGCTTTGTAAGCAGGCCCTCCCTGGAATCTTAGTTCTGGGAAATCTAGGGCCTCCATTGCAACCAAACAAGTCAAAAGCAAAACTCCTTTCAAAATGCGTCTCCCAAAGGGAGGAAGGTGACCCGGTATGTTCTCAAGTGTGGAGAGAGACAGGCTAGCCTGGACTCCAGCGAAGGTTGGCATACATTCAACAGTATGACCTCAGGCATTTATTCGTCAGCTGTGTGATCTTGTGCAAAACCCTGTCCTTTTCTGAACTTCAGTTTTCTGCTGTTTGTGGTTGTTATTGATTGCTTGCTTTGCTTTGTGGAGATGTAGTCCCACTAAGAAGCCTGGGCTATCCTGTAACTCATGATCCTTCTAGGGCTTCAGCCTCCCCAGTTCTGAAATTACAGGCATTCCCTACCACATGGAGATTGATAGATTCTCTATCCTATTAGACATGACGGTCCTCCTTGCCACTCCCCTCCCCTCCCTACCAAAGTGTTGGAATAGACTACAATTTGAGGACTGTTGGGGAAACGTCTTTGACCAGCCCATCCTCTACAGAGGTCCGATCTTGCCCATTCCACATCAGATTTACAGTCAGTTTCCAGCTGGCTGGCTAGTTCCCTCTTAGTCCACCACTCCTTTCAAGGCCAGGGATGCGCATTGTTCAGCCACTGCTCTGACTCCTACAGCACAGTGGAAACGAAAGAAGCGTTAAGATGGGCGAAGGATCAGCCCACCCTTACTTTCTTCTAGTAGGAACAGCTGGGGATCGAGAGATCACATCCTAATATAGAAAGCAGGCCGTCTAGTGCGCCGAAAACGCGGTTACCAAATCGGAGAGCTTTTCCAACGTCACCCCTATATAGCTCTTCTCAGTGCGTCGGGGAGGGACC